AGCACTTCCAGCCCATTCTTTGTTGGTTGGCCACATTGCAAGACTTCATCTCTGGTGTTCTTCTGTAGGACTCACAATAAAACTCCCAAACTCAGTTTCAGAAGAGCTGTAATGTTCTCCAGCCTTTACTTTGGACTGAAGTTTCATATTATATTAATACCCAGTAGCTTCTTGATTTTTATGCTGTAATTCTTATTCAGTGTACCATTATACAACATATTAGCCTGTTTGCTTTGTTTTTTTCCATCATGAAAGCTTTAGATTAGTGTAAGACTTGTGTTGATGGGGGCAACTGCTATTTTTTGTTTTTGATTTTTGGGTTTTTTTTACTTTTATTACTACATGTTTGTAGTACATGATATCACTGTAGGGAACTGATACAGGTATATAGCATATTTCAATTCTTTTGCCCTTTCTTTTCACCTACTTTTATTTATCCAGCATCAGATTCATTTATTTATCTTGTAAGATCTTGTAAAATTAATTATCACATATATAGATTGAAAATAAGAGAATTTGCTTTTGTTACTGTCAATAAATGTGAGCTAATGATAATATCCATGATTAATTTCATGTCATCTTAAGTATAAATGTAATGAATGCTGTCACTACAAACAAGACTTATTAGACCAAGGAACTTTTCATGTTGTTTAAGCTTTTTTGTTCCTAAGAAGCACAAATCGACCCACCTATGCCTCCTTTTTTCAAAGGAATTTATTTGAATGACACATATAGATTCAGACAAGAAAGGAAACAGAAATTATTTTCTGTGCCTGTGATTTTGCTCTCTTAGCCAGCCATTGTTTTCTGTATTCCTCCATCTAAAATCTGAAATGATCTCTTTTGATTGACTTAATAGGAAGCATCAGTGCTTTTCACACCAGGCCACCCACCTACAGTTGTGCTGCCTTTTGGTTGAGTGCCTATCTCTGCTCCAACCCATAGTCATTTCTGAACAAAGAATAATAGTAATGCTATGTGGGTACTCCATGTAGGATGATTTAAATGGAAGAGAACATTGGATTTGGCAGCCATGATGCCATGCCTAGTATATCTTCCTTCAGACCTTAGTTCTTTTCCTGCCACAAGCCTGTTTCTCCTTCACCAAAGCTTCTGAGTGGTCTCTACTTGTTGTCTTTATTTTTTAACTTCCCATCCTTCAGTCATGTAGTTTTATCACCACCATTCCCCTGAATCTGTGATCTCCACTCTCTCTTAGATTGGCACATCGTTGGTTTCCCTATAATACACATAATATTTGTACATTAGATTTCTCTGGTTAGTGTGTTGTGTCTAAAGCCATTCAGCTTACATCTATAAAGTAGGAAGATAATAGCTAGAAATCAGGATGTAAATTCCTTAAAAAACTAAAAATAGAAAATCTCATTAGACCCAGTCATTCCTTTTCTAGGTATCTACTGAAAATTTTAAAGGCATCATATTGACAGTGGCACATGCATATCCATGTTTAGAGAGCAAAACACATAATAGCTGTATCTTGGAAGTAGCCTGGATGTCCATCAGCAGATGAATGATGTCTTAGTTACTTTCCTTGCTGGAGAGAGAGGTTTATTTAGCTCACAGTTTGTAGAAGTTTCAGTCCATAATTGGCTGGCTCCAAGGCAGGGTAGCATGGCAGTGGGGTATTTCAGAGGAGAAATAATTCATAGTGGGTGGAAGACAGAAGAAAGAAGACATCAAGCTATAAATGACAAGCAACAAGTGAAGCAGCTCTTTCTGACCTTTCTAACTTATCCAGGATACTTGCCTTTGGTAGTGGTAGTGGTGGTGGTTGCACACACACCTGTAATTGCATCACACCATGATCAGTCCCAGCATCATGTCCTTGATCCCAGCATCACAAACCCTGGGTCTTGCCACCTCTAGAAGCTATGACTACATGAGACTTTGGAGGAGGACATCTAGATACAAGCCATAAAGATAAAGCTAATGTGTTATTTACACACTGTGAAGTACTACTCTGACATAAAGAAGGATAAACGAGTCAGCTGTAAGACAGTGAAGGCACCTTAAGATTATAATGTTAAGTAAAATAAGTTAAGACACATAAGTTTAAATAGCACGTGGTTCTCTAGTATGAGAAGCTCAAATCATAAATAAAAAGCAAAATAAAACTAGATACTAAAAAGTAGGGAAATCTTTCTCAGTAGGAGCAGGATCAAGATACGGAGGGAGGAGGGAAGGAAGGGGTGAAACAGGAATTGAGATGTGTTGTGTCCAGGCACCAACCTCACACATGGAATGTGACATTATGTACTGAAACATGTACCAATACTACTACTACTACTACTACTAGTAATGGTCAAGAAGGTTGTGGTGAAAATCGGCTGTTTTTAACATGCCTACTTTCACATGATAAACTTTTTGAGTGTTAACTAGAGACCTTGTGCTGTATCATTTCAAGTGTGTATGTAAACTTCATGGCCATGCAGACTGGAGTTTGAATCTAGCTTCCCACTTAGCAGCTCTGTGAACTTGGGCAAAGCGTGTCATCTACAAAATGAACCATAAGTACGTATCACATAAATAAAATAATAGTAAGTATATAACAGTAAGTAGCTTATTGTAATATTTTGTTTTCTTGATAAATAATTATTTATTGAGAACCTATTATGTGAGAGATTCTAGAAAAGACTGTAGGTAATATCATCTATAATTCATATTCCACATCTATTAGAAGACCACTTCATTTCAGTTAGATAATAGTTTAACTTTTGCAGGCCAAATCATATAGGATAATCCTGACACAGACATGCTACCTTGGACTTCATGGAACTGAAATCTAGTCAAGACTCAAAGAGCAAGCAAAACAAAACAAATAGCAGCAACAAAGTTCATGAGCAACCAAAGATGTCAAGCACACACAAAAACTGCATTTGCTTGTGTTACTGATGGAAATACATCGCACGTTCTTGTGTAGTGTCACATTTCTAGTGCTTGTTACCCAAGTGACTTTTGGTGAGTCTCAGACAATTCCTGTTTCCCTACCTGTGAAAGAAGAGTTAACTGATTTCTAAAAGGCTGTTATTAAGCCAGGTGCAGTGGCGCTTGGGAAGTTGAGGCAGGAAGTTTGTTGCAAGTTTAAGGTCAGCCTGGGCTACATAATGAAAGCTAGAACTTGCCTCAAAAAACTAATTAAATTAATTAAAAGTCTCAATTTTAAAACTAAAATTCTAGGTATATAGTATCTGAAAGTTACTATCGTTGGCTTTTTTTCCTATACTAATGTCTTTTAAAAAATTAATGTGTTTAAAGTGCAGGGCCTATGCAGAGGATTCACTGTGTGCCAAAGCTCTGTGATGAATAAAGAATTTCTAGTGTACTGTGGGGGACCGGTATGAGACCAGTTACTGCTTGAACAAAATAATTTAAATAAATTATGAAAAATAATTGTGATTGGTTTTAAGAATTTTCAGTGCCAGGAAAACTTTATAGAGGAATTATGGTTTCTTGCAGTTACAAGTTAGTCTTAAGTCCTACTGCTTGAAAACCGTAGAAGTTTATTATTGTTAATGTATAGTCTGATGTTGATCAGAAGTGGCTCTATGCCATAGTCACTCAAAAAGCCAAGCCAGTGGATTTTCTAACATCCCAACTCAGTGTTATTCATTATCACAATAAAGAAAGAGTGCAAAGAGCTAGAATTTTTTCCATTTGTTTTAAATACATTGCTAACTTCTGATGCTATACATTAGTGATGGTAAAGCTGTTGGCAGAGTGAGTTGTTTGTATCATTGAAAGCTCTGTTACTGTGTTTTTCTTTTAAAGCTAAAGGTTTTTTCTAAATGAAAAACTCAGTATTCAAGTTTTGTTCTTGTGATAAATAAGTGAGTGTTGATTTGCATTTTGAACATTCGGTCTCTAAAAGGTTCACCATTACTAATATTTATCATTTCTACTTGTGGTCTATTGCATTTGATCAGATGTCTCTGTAAGAAGATAGAGAATGTGGGGGAGACCAAGTGGGTATTTGTTGAATATAAATCCTTGGCTGTGTAACATATGAGCTAATTTTTAAAAGACTATTGGAAATTGATCAGATGAAAGTGTCCTCTACTGTCAAAGTGAAGAAGTTTTGTTTAGAGTAAAAAAGTGTATGTTAAGAAGTTACTATATTGGGCCAGATATATAGCTCAGTGGCACAAAGTGCCTGCCTGCCAAACACAAGCTCCTGAGTTCAATTGCTAGTACAAAAAAAAAAAAAAAAAGGAGAAGGAGAAGAAGAGGAAAAGAAGAAAAAGAAAGAAATTACTGTATTTGTTTTAGGGTCTAGACCTTGTAACATAATCTATGAAGATGTGAGAGCTGAAAAATAAGCCCTGGGGCAACCTTGTAACTGAATCTTGTATTGGTTACGTGATTTTATTTCTGATTATAAAATACAGATTGTGTGTATATATTCTGAACTTTGTAGGGTTCTTATTTTGTGGGAAATGTGTTAAAGGATAGTTTATGCTTTAGAAAGATTACTCTGTGTTCTCTACCTAAGGATTCCTTACAACTTTTTGTTTAATCATATTACATCCAAAATGCTATTACAGTGCTTAGAAAAAATAAAGGCTAAAGGCTAAACTTGAACTTTTAAAATTGTATCACATTATATCAAAAGTAAACCTTCAGTAAATCAACCTTTAAAGTATATTATTACATGGTTAAAATAGTTAACATTAGTGAGCTATGAAAGGAGCAGTGTTGATCATTTTATACGTATTATCATGGCTTTAACAATAACTGTGAAATAAGTGCTATTATTGTTATCCTTTTTAAAAACTTAATTAGTTTGTAAGCAGTTTGATGATATGCTCTTTAATATTTAAGATAGTTTAGTCCATTCACTTGAATATACATCAATTTTATGCATCATTTCTATTGGTCATCAAATTTAGAGCTCTATTATAAATAGTTTTGATTTTTACAGTAGAATAACTTAGTCATAGGTGATGGGAATAATGCTGAAATTTTAACTTTTTTGCTTTTAGGGTTTGGACAAAGGAGCCAAAGGGCAAATTTCCACTTTGAGCAGTGTTCTTTCAACTGTTAGCCAGAAGAAGGAAGCTGCCGAAAATAGAAGTTCACCTACACATCTCATTTTGCCTAACATCAAGAACGGTAATGGTCTGTATGTCTTGGCTGAAAGTGTGTTGCAGTATTAAACTATTTAAAAGGTAGTTTTTATTACTCAGCATTGTTCTGGTAGTTCTAATTAATGTAACAACAATAAAGAAATAAGCTATATAAATATTTACAAGAAACAAAATTATTACTAATTATTATTATGACTTATTTAGAATAAGAGAATGAAATGTAAAACTCACGAGTAATAAAGTTTGATTAAAGTGTCAGCTACAAAATATATACATACTGTACATATATCATGTTTTATATACAATCTTAATAATTTTTAAGATTTAAATATAATTCATGTATTTATTAGGTTTTCTATATTTGAGTGGTAACCAATTCAGAAACTTGTTAGAAAATCTATAAAATATTTAGAAATAAACCTAACAAAAACCTTTTAGACTAAAAGATAGTTTTCATGGAAAAACAAATTCTATAGAGATGTAAGGGCCACTCAGTTTATTCTCTATAGTTAGTAAATTTTCAACCCTTCTTTGGGGAAACCTAATGAAATAATTCCGTATTTGATTGTGAAAATAAATGTCTGAGAAGGTATAAGACAAAATAACAAGACAGCCCATTCGCCACAGTGCCATGTATTGTAAAGCTGTAGTAATGATAGCATCGCCACTAGGAAAGCCAAATAAAATAGATCAATAAAAAATATTATGTGTAAGTGGCATTAAATTATTTAAAAATTGGAATTAGACCAAATAGCTAACCTTTCAAAATTAGTGAAGTTACTTTTTCTTTTCTTTCTTTTTTTTTTTAACTATGAGTTTTTTTTTTTTTTTTAAACTGGAAGAGTGTACAACTGATTTTAAAATCTGCATATACTCAGTGACCCAGTAACTTCATTCTAGGAATTTAGTCTAAGGAAATAATGTAGCATGTGTGCAAATACACAAAGAAGAAATATACATTATTTATAATAATGTTTGAAGCAATCTAAGAAGATGGGCTAAGTAAATTGTGTTAGTACATACTGTAAATACTGTGTTTCTATATAGAAGAATGCAATATATACAAAAAGTGGCTAAGGAATGCCCACAAAACTTTGTAGAATTTTTAAAAAGGAAGTTACACAATTACGCAGACCATGACTCCAGGTTTTTCTTAATAGAAGGAAACTATTTACACTTTTGGCATAGAAAGTACCCACTGATCTTTTAATGGATTTTTTCTCAGTAAGGTAGGATTGGGTGTCTATTATTAATATTTCTTTGTATGACTCTGTGTTGTTTTATCACAGAAAACATGTATTACTTACATACTTTTATGTACTGATCACCATAAGAAAAACAACAAATCTGCAAGGCTTTGGCTGCCCCTCACTCGGTAGCCAAAGAAGACAAAACAAAACAAAAAAACCTGGAAATGGTTAATAACATTATTTATAGTAAATTGTCTATGTACATAAGCTGTATGTAGTATAAATTGTCACAGAAATTTTCTGTTTAACATTGCTAGCTACATTGCTAGCTTCTATTATACATATTCTGTGGTCTTACAGGTTAGTATCTATGTCTTGTCATTAATGAACCTTTGCCTTTGATAATAGTTTTCTTCATTTATACACACACACATTCTATCACTTAGGTCTTACTGTGTGGAGGCACCAGTGCCTGTATGTCACAGTTCCCAGTCCCCCATACAATAAAACAAATTTGTGATTGTGGTACCATTGTAGAAAGAGAAATAAAATGAATCTTTCTATGTGGGAGAGGAGTTAAGAAAAGTGATTTCTGGGTTAGACAGACTAACTGGGTGGTAATAACTTTTAGTTATGTAACATAACTAGAGAAAACTTTCACATAATTTTATTTGAGCTTCATAACCACATAAAATACAGTGAAAGTATCCTCATAGTAACTGATTTTCATTGCTGCATAGCAAATTACAAGAAATTAAAGGCTTAAAAACAATACCCATTTATTATTTTATAGCTCTTTAGATCAGAAGTCTAAAAGAATATAGCTAGGTTTTTTATTTTCTGTCATACAAGGATTACTCAGCTGTATTTCTTATGGGCTTTCCTTTATAGGTAATTTGTTTCTTTTCCCTGACAGTTTTTAAGATTCTGTTCTTTTTTGTTCTCTCTTCCCCTCCCTCTCTCCCTCTCTCCCTCTCCCCCTCTCTCCCTCTCCCTCTCCCTCCCTCTTTTCTCTCTCCCTCTCTTCTCTCTGTCTCTCACGACCTCATGCTTGCCAGACAGGCACCTATATCACTGAGCTAAATCCCTGGCTCGAACATTCTAGTCTTAAAAAATAAAGTGAAAAAATAAAAGCAAAAAAGTAGACTCTATTCTTACGTTGAATTTCTGGAATCTTGACTATGATATACCTGGCTGTAGATTTTTTTTCAGCATGGCTAATGGAGTTCTATGTACCTTACTTATCTGTATGTAACATTCTTTTTCTCTGTCAGGGAATTTTTCTACCATGACGTCTGTGAACGGTTTTATAATATCAGTTGTGATATCGCCTGCTTTTTTATTGGCTCCAGTCAATCTTAAATTATTTGTCTTTGTTTCCTCTAGCAGCTGCTAGATTGATTTTTCATGGTCCCTTGGCATTTTTGAGAAATCTGTCTTCTCTTGGTCACTGTCTTCTGTATCTGAGATCCTGTCCTCACATTGGCTTAATCTTCTGTGAATACTTTCAGTGGAATTTTAATTCTCCTGTATATCTGCTTGAATCACTGTATGGGTTCCATCGCATCTCATTTCTTTCCTTTGCTGAGCATTTACAACTTCTATAATTTTCTTAAGCTCCTCTTTTTTTTTTTGTCTGTATCTGCTGTAGTGTCATTAAGCATGGTCTTTTATTTTGCACATCATCTCTGCTGTTACTGAGATATTATTTCTGATTTAATTTTTTCCAGAGCCTCATTCAGTTGCTTTGTTGTTACCACTAGAGAGGTCCGATGGAAGGTTTTCAGATTGCCCCACTTTGTTAACCCTGGATTTGCCTTTGGTGAACTGGGTGTCTGGGATTGCATCTGAAGTGTCTTCTCATTTTCTTCTTTTTTTTAGTTCAGTTCCTGGAGTGATGTTTATAAATTGCCTACGGTGTATTGCTTTATTGCTAGTATTTAAGACCCTTAGGAAATGACTACTTCTCTGAAGTATTTTTCCAAATGTAACTGGTTTTTGGGTTTCGAGTCTATTGGAAGAGCCTGCCTTTTCAGTTTGTTGGAGCAGAGAAGTTGCTGCTTGTTTGGCCCAGTCCCTGATTCTTTGGCACTGTGTTAGAGTATTTTCTGTGACCTTTAGTCAGTTGCAGTCATAGAATACCAGGACCAACAGCTTTTTAGAGCAAATATGTCAATTTTGGGTATAGTGATACCAATAGTGTCAAACACAGCCTAGAAAAATCACAAAAGGAGCTCTTAATTTGCCACATTTAACCATATGAATTAGATTTCTGATTATATAGCAAAATCTAAAACACACGAGAAAATTATATGCAATATACAAGTCCTTAATATGTCAATTTTGTCCTCAGGGATTAAAATTTAAAATGGGTCAAGGAGAAAATAGAGAAATGGAAGAGGAAGAGATTAGAAGTAAGGTTGGAGGACAAAGGGGGGTCACAGAAACTTTAGGAAACTGGTGCAGAAGATTGAAAGAAAAGAGAGATGGAAAAGATAAAAGAACAGAAGCATAACCACAAAGAGGACCCTGTTCACACTCACATAAAAACAAGATCAGATGAGGAAAGAGGAAACACAAAAGGAAAAACAAAAGCCAAAACTGGTCCAGGGCCAGGGATATAGGTTAGTGGCACAAGTTCCTGCCTGGCCAGCCAAGGCTGTGAGCTCAATCTCTGGTACCAAGAAAAAGAAATAAAAGATCCACTTCCAGGGTTGTCTCTAATTTCACTGGTAAGCAGCTGTGGAGACAGACTCATGATCTGTGCCAGTCTGTCCCAGCAAGCCAGCAGTAGGTTTTTGGCAGGGTAGTGGATAACCTCAGTGAGCCTGTTCTTTCTGGCCAAGACCAGAGTCATTGTGATCACTGCCATCCGAGCGCCTTCTGTGAGCCCAGCTGGGAGCCACTAGATGGAGCCAGCAGCAGTTCTGAGTTCAAATCTCATTCAGCCCATCTCCAAGATGGTTCCTGGCCAATTGTCCTCTCCCTCGAAAGGAGTGAGCCCTCCCCACTCACAGCCAGCCAGTGCATTCCTTCACGTGTGCTGCTTCCCTCCACTGCCACATGTCTCTATGGAAACAAGGAGGGTTGTCAGCTGTCAACATGTGTCCACAGGTTTGAACTGCTCCTCTTGCACAGAGTCCTATCTCAGGGAGAAGGTGCCTCTGGCTGGCTCCTCCTTCTCCATTGAAGTTTCTCTTTTCACTCTCTGTGGGCTTCAATTTGTGTTTCAGATTCTTCCTGGGTCCAGGGGGCACCCACATTCCTCCTCCTTGTCTTCCTCATGTTGCTAATATTCCAGCATCTGGATGGTAACTTTCAGAGGGGCTCTTTCTCTACTGTTTCCTCTCTGCCATCTTGTTCTCCCCCTGCTCCTTGTGTACTGTAAAGAAAAAAATCTTGAAATGGTTAGGGTCATTTCCCCCTCTTATTTCCTTCTCTTCTCTGGAGAACCAACTACGTATAGTCTTAAATTGGTGTGTTGCTTTCTTTCCAAGCAAGCATGGCATAATTGCAGAAACTACGCCTTGTACTATAACAGTTTTTAAAAATTTAAACATTTGCTGGATATTTTGATGACATCACATCTGCCCACAAGTCCTTGAGTGGACATAATTGATCCTGAATGTGATCCACTCATTGAACTCTAACTAGTCGGCTGCTTGTCTCTCATCTGTGCCAGTTTGTGTGGAATCTAGACTTAAGTGCAACCTGAGTTCAGAATATTATGGACAGCGCTCCTGATGACTAGACTTTTTAGTAGACTTCACTACCTTATTAGAACTCTCAGTGCTGACTTCTGTGTGTTCTGTCTGGATGCCACCTAAATTCAGGT